AGTGAAGATCTCCTCACTGTCCTCCACTGTTTGATCAGCAGAGTGATGGATGGCCTCCACCTCCTGTTGAAGCAGCTCCACATCTTTCTCTCTGTCCTGGATCTCCTGCTGGATCGTTTCTCGTCTCACCTCGACCTCTCTCTGCCTCTCAGTCCTTTCTGCTGCAGCTGAGACTGTGTCGTGGCCTCTATGTTCCTCCACAGAGCAGAGATAACAGATACACTTGTGATCAGTACGACAGAACATCTTCATCGCCTCATCATGACGAGGGCAGATGTTCTCCTGGAGGTTCTTGGAGGGCTCCACCAGCTTGTGTTTCTGAAATGGAGCTGAATCATAATGAGGCTGAAGGTGTTTCTCACAGTAAGAGGCCCGGCAGACCAAACAGGACTTGATGGCCTTCAGTTTTCTTCCAGCGCAGACATCACAGGCCACATGTTCAGGTCCAGCATAGCAGTGATCAGCAGGAGCAGCTTGGAGTCCAGTCTTCTTCAGCTGCTCCACCAGGACAGATAACATGATGTTTTTCTTCAGGACAGGCCTCGGTATGAAGGTCAGCCTGCACTGAGGGCAGCTGTGGACCTTCTTCTGATCCTCCTCATCCCAGTGGGTTTTAATACAGCTCATACAGTAGCTGTGTCCACAGGGAACAGCCACCGGATCCTTCAGTAGATCCAAACAGATCGAACAGGAGAAAGTTTCCTGGTCCAGCTGATCTCCTCTCTGCGCCATTTTATGTTTTAGTCAGCCGCTGTGTGTGAGTTCTTCCTGAGAAGTGAAACTGAACTCTGATCTACAAATCACGTGTCTGTGCAGAGAGAATGAAGCCAATCAGCTCCAACATCCAGCTCCTGTTGGTGACATCACCTGAAGAGGAGGGAACAAGGAGATATGAGGACAGACTGGATGGACCTGCTGTGTTTGAGAGCAGGAAGAAGAGACTAAAACCAACATGAATCTGTAACAGAACCATATTCTTATCATGAAAATGTTCAACGAAGTCACAAATCCAAAGAGAAATGGTCTTTTTGTCAGATTAGTTTGGTTTACAGCCGCAGATGTCTCCCCCTGCTGGACAAAATGTAATGTGGAGACCAAACTTTTCCTTTGTGGCTCGATCACCACAGGTGATGAATTGACAACTGTTTGGACCGTGCCCAATAATGTTCTTTAATCACTGTGAAACGTTATTCTAAGGTCTGAAGCAGCCTCTGAAACAAATGTCCTCAGTATAATTGCAGATTTATTGTACAGGTAAGTGGAAATCACAAACTCACATGACGTCTGCCGCTTTCTCTTGAACATCCGCCCCGTTAACAGCGCGCGCCACACTTCTCTTCACGAACTTCTTCTTCTTCTGTTTTTTTATTGGTGGTTGGCAAACAACTTATGGTGTGCATTACCGCCACCGACTGGTATGGAGTGTGGGTCAGAATGCTTTTTAAAATAAATAAAATAAATAAATTCTATTTACTTGTGTATGTGTTGTCTGTCCTAATCACATCCTATCGATCAGCTTTGTTTTAATGAAGAACCTTATCAAAATTTTTACACTTTTACTCCCTGACTCTTTCTGTAGTATGTTTGTGATATTTAGTGTTTCTTTAATCTTTCTAAGTTCCTCCATCATGTGTCTTCTTTGTCTCTCATATCTCTGACAACTTAAAATCACATGCTCTATTGTTTCTGTCTCTCCACAATACTGACAATTTCCTGTTTCGTGTTTATGTAGTGTGAATAATGTGTTGTTCAGTCCAGTGTGTCCAAATCTCAGTCTTGTTACTAATCTCTCTTCTCTTCTGTTTCTCCCTCCTGTTCTCATCTCTCACACTCTTCTTTGGATCTTATACCCTCTTCCTTTGTTTTCTTCATTCCATTCTTTCTGCCACTTTTCCTTCAGTTTTTCTTTAACCGTGCTTCTTGCTTCTGATTTGCTTGTAGTTATTATAAAGTTAACTTGTTGTGTTGTTGCTCTTTTTGCTTCCCTGTCTGCTGCTTCATTTCCTTCAACCCCAGTGTGTGCTGGTACCCACAGAAATACAACTTCCAAACCCATCATCATTATTCTGAATAATGCTTGCTGGATTTCTAATAAAATGTCTGCTCTGCTGTCTGAGTGGCTGTGCTGTAAACTTGTAAGTGATGAACCTGAATCTGAACATACTATTGTCTTTAATGGTCTGACATCTTCTATCCATTGTACTGCTAATAATACTGCGAACATTTCCCCGGTGTATACTGACAATCCATTTGTAATCCGTTTAACTTGTGTCTTATGGAACTCTGGGATGATAATTGCTATTCCTATTTTCCCTGTTGTGTCTTTTGATGCGTCTGTGTAAATCTGAACGTAACCATAATAATTATTTATATATTTCTGTACTGTATATGAGTTAAAAGTGGTTTTTTTTAATCTTTTTTCTTTTCCATAAGTGTAAAATCTACTTTTGCAGTTGGTAGTATCCATGGTGGTATTGTTGGTAGCGGTATTATTGGACTTATTGTTAGGTTTCTTATTTGAACTTCTTGTATCTTCTGATTGATTATCCAACCAGAGCTTCCTGTTTCTCTCTTTGTTTTTTCCCAGCATGGTTTTAAAATGTCTAATGTTGGATGATCCGGGTTATTTCCTTGTAAGTTGATCCAGTAATGTATTGCTAGCTGTGTTCTTCTCAATTCTAAAGGCATCTCTCCCATCTCTACTTTAAGTGCTGCGGTTGGGGTGGTCCTGAATGCTCCTGTACAAATTCTTAGTGCTTGATGTTGGATATTGTCAAGTTTCTCCAGATGTGTTTTTGCTGCAGATCTATAGATTACACTTCCATAATCTATAGTTGACCTGATCATCTTTAATGCTGTTCTGTCTGCTCCCCATTCATTTCCCGCCAAACATCTCATAATATTTAAGACCCTTTTACATTTATCAATAATTTTCTGAATGTGAATATTCCATATTACTTTTTCATCAAACCACATTCCCAAAAACTTTATACTCTTAACTTGTTCTATTTCTTGATTGTATAGTTTCAGTGTTTTGACTTCTGTAATTCTTTTCCGTGTAAATATCATTGCCTTTGTTTTTGTCACTGAAAATTTAAACCCCCACTTTATTGCCCATCTTTCTATTTCATTAATAGCCTTCTGTATTTTTTCTACTGTGACTTCTATATTTCGTCCTTTTTTCCAAATTGCCCCGTCGTCTGCAAAGAGTGAACAGCCCATTCCCTCCTCTATTTCTACAAAAACATCATTTATCATTAAAGAAAACAATAAAGGACTTATGATGCTGCCTTGTGGTGTTCCATTTTCTACACCATATTTCTCAGAATATTCTTCTCCTATTCTAACTTGTATTGTTCTTTTTGATAAAAAGTTTTTGATCCATTTAAACGTTTTCCCTGTAATACCTATTTTCTTTATTTTAATTAACAACCCTTCAACCCATAACATATATGCTTTTTCAATATCAAAGAACACCGCCACCACACTATCTTTATTTATCTGCGCTTTTCTGATTTCATGTTCTAACCGTAAAGCTGAATCATATGTATTACGCCCTTTTTGAAACCCACTTTGATATTTAGATATATATCCTTTACTATTTAAATAGTATGTTAATCTCTCATTAATCATTTTTTCCATTATCTTACATATGTTTGATGTTAGTGCGATTGGTCTGTAGTTTTCCGGTTCAGTGTTGTCTTTTCCTGGTTTTGCTATGGGTATGATGACTGACTCCTTCCAGCTCTGTGGCAGTTCCCCCTCCTCCCAAACTTTATTGTACAGCTCTAAAATGATTTCTTTGGATGGTTCACTGAGATGATCTATCATTAAATACCAGATCTGATCTTTTCCTGGTGCTGTTGTCTTGGTTTTTCTCAGAGCTCTGTTTAGTTCATCTTTTTTAAATGGTGCGTTCAATAAATTATCATTTACTTCACTATTCTGTTGTAAATATTTATACCTTAGTTTTGTGGCTTCCCTCCCTTTCTTTTCCTCCTCACTGATAGTATTTGTACTATGAGTCTTTCTAAAGGTTTCAGCTAACATTTCAGCTTTATCTTTATCTTTAATCATCGCTCCTTTGTGTTCAATACTGGGTATACATATTCTTTCCTGATGCCATTCATTCTTTTAATCACTTTCCAGATTTTGTCAAGTTTAGTCTCTTTCCCTATAGTGTCAAAGAATTTTCTCCAGTAGTTTCTTTTTGCCTCCTTTATTATCCTCCTTACCATCGCTTGTTCTCTTTTATAATCTATTAAATGTTGATAAATAGGATTCTTTTTAAGTATTTTAAAGGCTTTATTTCTTGACTTGATTGCTTTATTACAGTCATTTGTCCACCATGGTACTATTTTTCTTTCTTTCCTTCCGCCTCCTTTCTTCACTGAATGTTCTATTGCCTCTAGAATAACCCTACAAATATTTGAATTTATATTATTTACATCCGCTGTCATGTCAATTTTTTGTAATTCTTGTTCACTGATATAATTAAATTTATTCCATTCTGCTTTGCTGAAATTCCATTTTTTATTCCCCTCTACTTTTCTGCTTTCTGGTTTTATTTGTATTTTAATCTTAATTGGGTAATGATCGCTTCCATTTGTTGTATTCTTATCAATATCCCATTCACAACTGACAGCCAGTGAGTTTGATACTAGTGTTAAATCAATTGCTGATTCTTCTCCTGTTCTAACGTTGATTCTGGTTCCTCTTCCATCATTAAGACACACTAGGTTTTTTAATTCCATCAATTCTTCAATTTCTTGACCATTTTTATCATTACTTTTACCCCAGAGTGTACTATGAGCATTGAAATCCCCACACCAGATTACCTTTCCTTCTAAATATCCCATTATTTCTTCCATTGATTCAATTGTTATATTTTAACAAGGATTATAGAAATTTATTATTTTATATTTTCCATCTTTGTCCCATATTTCCACCACTATATATTCTAAATCTACTCCTTTTCTTAATATTTGATATTGTGTTCCTTGTTTTATAAATATTGCACACCCTCCTCCATTTCCCTCTTGCCGATCCCTTCTGATGCTCTCATACCCTTTAATTACAAATTCTAATGTTGCTTTTAACCATGTTTCCTGTATACATATTATTTCTGGTTTTTCTTCTAATTTTTCAATATATCCCTTAAATTCTTGTCCATTTGCAATAAGACTTCTGGCATTCCATTGTAGTATTAACATCTGAGTTTATCGCCCAGTGTTACCGGTCTCCCATCTATTTCCAGCCCTTTGTTTATGTTTTCCCAAGACGCCTCTTTGACCCCCAGAAACTTTTCTGCCCCTCTTGCTATTATTTTAATCTTCTCTGTTCTGTGCTTAGCCTGATCTGTGCAGTTGATGACATATGCTATGAATAAAATGAGTTTTTCTACTGACAGTGTGATGTTTTCCTCTGTTTGCAGTTTGGTTTGTTGTGGAACTTGATTCTCGGACTGGTCTGCTTCTCTTTTCTTTTGTCCCTGAACACTCCTGACTGCTTCAGCGTAGCTAATATTTTTAGTCATTTTGATTTGTTGTATTTCTACCGCTCTCTTTCTCACCTCACATTTTCCAGAGTTAGCTCTATGTTGACCCCCACAGTTACAGCACTTTTCTTGTTTGTCCTCTCTGCATTCTTCTATCCTGTGCTCCTCTCCACATTTAGGACACCTCTGCTTGCCTTTACACACCGCTGCCATGTGTCCATACCTCTGACATTTGTAGCATCTGAGTGGTGGGGGGATAAAAGGCCTGACCGGGAAACTCATAAATCCTATTTTTATTTTATTTGGCATTATTGTTTCGGAGAACTCTATTAAAATAGACATGCTTCCCACTCTTTCTCCATCAACTGTTCTCATTAATCTCTTTAATCTGTTCACCTTTACTCCGACAATGCTTGGTTTTAATTTATCCAAATCCTCCTCCACTGGTATTCCTGTAATCACTCCCTTCAGTACTTTATTTTCTCCAACATTGTGTTTCTCTATCACCACCTTTTTTGCAGATATTATCAACTTGTAATGCTTTGTTTTTTTGTTCTTCAGTTTTGCAGATTATCAGTAAGTTTCCATCCCTCAACACCTTCACCATTTCTACCTCTCCTATTTTCTTTTTTATTTCTTTAGATATTATAATTGGGCTTAAGTATCCCTGGTTTTCCTCCCTCTTAAACTTGAGAATTATTTTAAATTCCTCCCTCACGACCTTCCTACGAATTGTTCTTTCTTCATCTGAACTATTTTCCTCTAATTTTCTTTTATTTCCTTGACTATCTAACACCCTCCCACCTTCCTTCGCATCTCCGCCGCTTCCTCGACCTTGTCCTTTTCCTCTTCTTACTTGCGTCCAATCCTCTAACATCATGTCCTCCTCGTTACCTCCTACCTGGTTTGCCATTCTGACCCAGTCACATTCCAGCTTATGCCAACCGTCCACTCCAAAATCCACAATTTTCCGTCAAAAGTTTGTCCGTCCAAGTTTGAATTTCGCGCTCCACCGCCGAGAGACACTGACACTCTGAGAAGCTCTTTTTATACCCAATCATGTTGTCAATTGACCTAATTAGTGTTAATTGGTCTTCCAGCTGTTTGTTATATGCTCAATTTCCTTTTTTCCAGCCACTTATTGCTACTTGTCCCAACTTTTTTGGGATTTGTTGATACCGTGAAATTTTGAATCAACATATTTTTCCTTTAAAATGTTACATTTACTCAGATTAAACTTTTGATCTATCATCTATGTTATATTACGAATAAAATATTGACATTTGCCATCTCCACATCATTGACTTCAGTTTTTATTCACAATTTGTTTAGTGTCCCAACTTTTTTGGGAATCCGGTTTGTATATACACACACACATATATGTAACATATAACACTGCTAACAAAATTAATGGAAACACTAAAAGAACACATCCTAGACCTCAATTAATTAAATATTCCCATTGACAAACTTTATTATTAGCCCAGTGGATTTGATTGAGAAGAAAATAACAAAAATTATCAATGTAAATCAAAATTATGACACTGGAGATCTGGATTTGGATTCATCCTCAATATGAAAGTGGAAAACAACATAACGGGCTGATTCAACGTCAGTGAATATTCCTCAAGACAAGTCTAAAAGAGGCTCAGTGTGTGTGTGTGTGTGTGGCCTCCACGTGCCTGTAGAACCTCCCAACAACGCCTGGGCATGCTCCTGATGAGACGGCGGATATTCTCCTGAAGGATCTCTTCCCAGACCTGGATTAGAGCATCAGTTTGCTCCTGAACAGTCTGTGGTTCGATGTGGCCTTGGTGGATAGACCGGAACATGATGTTCCAGATGTGCTCAATTGGATTCAGGTCATGGGGAACGGGCAGGCCAGTCCATAACATCAATGTTATGGACTGGCCATAACATGTGTCAGGGACTGCTGACACACTTCAGCCACATGAGGCCTAGCATTGTCATGCATAAGAAGGAACCCACTGCACCAGCACATGGTCTCACAGTGGGTCTGAGGATCTCATCCCAGTACCTTATGGTAGTCAGGGCACCTCTGGCTAGCACATGGAGGACTGTGCAGCCATCCAAAGAAATGCCTCCCCACACCATGACTGACCACCACCAAACTGGTCATGCTGGAGGATGTTGCAGGGAACATAACGTTCCCCATGATGTCTCCAGACTCTGTCACATGTGCTCAGTGTGAACCTGCTTTCATCCGTGAAGAGCACAGGGCGCCAATGGTGAATCTGCCAATTTTGGTGTTCCCTAACAAACGCCAATCATCCTGCAGTGTTGGGCTGTAAGCACAGGTCCTATATGTGCACGTCAGACCCTCATACCACCCTCATGGAGTCTGTTTCTGACAGTTTGAGTGGAAACATGCACATTAGTGGCCTGCTTGAGGTCATTTTGTAGGGCTCTGGCAGTGGACCTCCTGTTCCTTCTTGCACAAAGGGCGAGGCAGTGGTCCTGATGCTGGGATGTAGCCCTCCTACAGCCCCCTCCATGTCTCCTGGTGCCTATTCTACGCTCTGGACACTGTGCTGAGACACAGCAAATCTTCTTGCCACCGCTCGCATTGATGTTCCATCTTGGATTAGCTACTTGATCAACTTTAGTCGGCTGTAAAAACACCTCACGATGCCTCTACAGCACTGACAAAATGAAAAAGAGACTAAAAGTTCAACCAGAAAGGACGAGAACAGAGAAATGACCTGTGGTCACCGCCTGCAGAATCACTCTTTTTATTGGGGTTGTCTTGATAATTGAGTCTCATTCCAGCTGTTGTGTGTTCCACTTGCACAGCAGCAGCTGAAACACAATAAGTTACTACCTAAATGGTGACATAAATTCCACAAAGGTGTGACTGATTTAGTTATTGTTTTGTTTAGGCGTTCCCTTTTTTTTCGAGCAGTGACTATAATAAAGTTAAAAAATGTAAGATGAGCGCGAGCTGATTCTGATTACCCATACAACCTGTCAGTTTAACAAATATTGTGCAAAACAAAAAAAATTGGTCGTAGTTGAGGGTCATCTTCAACACGTACTCCGAGTGCTAACAAATAACATGAGATGGAGCACAATGTTATTTCCAAGACTTAACCAAAATGGCTAATTTGGTCCCTTTACAGCACAAGATGATCTTAAAGGTGATATGCATTCCTTTAAAGAACTCCAGGCCTACACTACGTACACATTCATGAAGACTCGTTTCACATCCAAAAGTACGTTTGCATTTTTTATTCCCTCACCTCTTTGGGATTTAAGACAAAAAAGCACGTCCTCCAGTCAAAGGTAGTATCGTTTATTCATTGGTCAGTAAATTCTAGTTGCTCAAGCAAATACACAATTAATTTGAAGTTCACTTCATCATGCTGGAATCACGAGTACAGACTACAGAGTGCAGAAACAACCCATCAGGTACGTTACAGTCATCACAACTAATACAAAAAGTTAAAGCACACTTCTAAAGGAATGTTTTCTGATGGCTACAAAAAAAAACAACTAAAGTCTGAGTCTCCTAAAGGCCTGAAAAGTAATACTTGTCATGACAGGAATGCTAGTTGGTGACAGAGTTCAAACATTTGGATGTTTCAGGTTTGAGGTCTGCTTGTATTCATGAATAAATTGGGTTTTTAACCCCGCGGTGCCGTTATTAGTCGAGAAAACTTTAGAAACAGACAGCGCATGCTTAAACACAAGATTACGTTCGGTTTAAAAACTAGCGTTTTTGTTTAAATAACTCCAATTTAAAATGTGAAACTCTTCAGTTTTCCAGCCCCGCAGACTAAATCTTCCTCGTTGCATCACTGCTTTAGAACCGGCAGCTCCCTCGGCTTAAAGAAGGCCTGAGCCATCCCCATGGCGAAGATGTAAACTTTGGAGTCCACCACGATCTTTTCTCTCTGCAGCAGATCTGTTCGCGAGAAAACGAGCCGAGAGTTGGTCAAAGCGTATTTCCCACAGTCCCGCCATCGTGTGGAAGCCTCACCATCAATTTTTGTCTGGAACTCATCGAGCGGCAAAAGAATAACTTCGACAAACTCTGGAAAGAGACGACCGGGGCGTGAAAAATGATTTAGGTTTCGGGCGAAAGGTTGTTTAAAAAAATTATTTGTAACTCACCTCCATCACCTGCGGGAAAAACACAAGAGAGCAACATTAACCCTTTAAAGCAACAAGTCCATTTCAAACTGCTAAATGTTTTAAGACGAGCAAGATTTTGAAATCTACAGAACCGTTTTCACAGAAAGGCTAAAATGAGCAGAAGGCGAGCTAAAAACTGAGACCAGAAGGACACTTGGTAAAAGCTAAAAGCAGAACAGATGCTAAAATTAGAAGAAGAAAAAAAAAAACAGTAGCTATAAGTTCATATCCCAAAGCTAAAATAAATACAAATAATGTAGCTAAATTAGGAAGACAGATGTTTACAATAACAAATCTGTAGCTAAAAGTAGCAAAATATGACACTAAATTACAAGTCAGCAAAATGCTGTAGCTAAAAGCTGAAAGGAGCAGAATGGTAGCTAAAGAGTAAAAGAGGCAAAACAGTAGATAAAAATAGCAAAATGCTAAACTTAGCAAAAACAGTAGCTATAAGTAGTAGAGCTGTCATTTCTAACCCGGGCCCAAAGCCCGACCCGGATTAGGGCCGGGCTGGTGTCGGGCTTTTGATTGCGTCAGTGGACGTGCGAGGCTGATGATCTAATTATATGGCAACATGGCTTGCCATATGGCCACCAGCTGCACGCGGCCATTTGACCACGCGCTGACCGGCCTTGAAAGAAGTAAAAAAGTTCAGTTAAAGAAAGAAAGACATTCAAACAAACGAGACATCTTTGTTCTTTCCTTTAGAAGGTGGTGGTGTAAGTTAAAAAAGATTGAGCTGCGCTCAGCGGACGCACGCAGCCGACGACCCAAACAGGCGAGATCCCAAAATATCCGACATGTCAGAGCAGGGTCCATGTATGAATAATGCAGAATGCAGGCAGAAGCAGGGATTTAATGCGCTTTGACAGCCATGAAAGGACAAACACCTCCTCAGCTCTGATATTCTGCCCCCTTTATTCAGCCAAGTGTGTCTGCTGACCATTAATAACTATATAAGCAGTCAAAGCTTTATTAAAAATGGCAGAGGGGTGGGGGGTGGGGTTCAGGTTTAGACCTGTAATTACTGTTAATTTTTTGGGTTGGGTGGGGTTCAGAAATGATGGCTACGGGCTGGGGCCGGGTCGGATTTGTTAGGGACTGAATGAAACTCTAGGAACAATGAGAGGCAGCGCGACATTAATAAATCAGCATCTTATCGTATCGCTAAAGACACGGTCCCAGTCTCAACTGTGGAACAAGACGGCTAAAGACAACAGGGCTAACTAACGTCGTGAAGGCAGCACTGTTGAAGAATATTATTATTTACTACAGTAGTCTCTCGCTACTTCATGTTTCGTTTTTCGCAGACTCGCTCTATCGTGGTTTTTCAAAATAAGATCGGACATGACACACAATCGGCTGACTGATGGATGAGGCGCACGATCGGCATGGAATTTGAATTTAAAATAAATTATTTTAAATTATTTACCACCTGCTGCACCTCTGTGCAGCCCACACTGCAGGATAAGCTTCCTGCTGCAGCTGATCTCCGTGCAGAGCAGAGAAGTGGGCGTGGCCAAGAGCGAGCGCTTGCAGGTGGCAAAGTGCAGCCGTGGCTGAGAGGAGGCAGAGCTGAAATCATGACATTCTGTGCTCTTTTAGAGCGTTTAGAAACTCTGGTTAGAATATTGTAAGAGTGTGAGAAGGGTTAAAACGCCTTAATATACTGTATATATAAATACTAAAATGAAGTACTACTTTCTACTTGTACTACTATTCCTACTTTGCGGTTTCTCACTTATCACAAGGCTTCAGGGTACGGATCCCCAGCGATAAACAAAGGACTACTGTATATGTAAATAGTTTATATTTTTAGACGTTATTTAGTAGAGTTACAGCTGTTTGTTAATCAATGCACCTGGGAATTGGGACAAAGCTTTGACTCAGAAATTTACTTTTGTTATTACTGTATTTTCCAGCATATAAGTCACAGTTTGTTGCATAATTTACATGCCCTGCGACTTATACGCTGAAGCGACATATTTATGGATTTTTCCCCATATTTATAAACCATTTTTTGCCTGAGATATGACGTTTTCATTCATTCCGACTGATTTTTTTTAGCAGTACCACTTTCAGCCACTAGATGGTAGCAGAGTAGTAATAGCTATAAGGCATGCCGTTGTATCATATAAACGTAAACGTGACTATAATGACAAATTCAAAAAAGTTCAAGACAAAAATAACTGGACTTTATTTATTATACTTTACTTTATACTTTATTGTTGTTTTCTTGAACTTTTGTGAATTTACCATGTCCTGGATGACCGAGAATCTTCACCAGCTATTAATGACTCAATCAGTCTGCCAAAAAAATCCACTTTCGTTCTGCTCTGTGCTGCACCGCCCTGGCAAAATGCAGCTGATTTGACCATTAAAGTGTATTTATTAAGTAAATATTAGACAGAGACACACCTTTGCTATAATTTCGAGCAAACAAATAATTGTTTTTAAGTGTTCATCTTGTTAAATTCTTGTTAAAGTCCTCCCGTGCACACTCCTGCAGTCGCCATTTGGCAGCCCATCGATTTTTGGCACAACACCGGCCCACATTTCCAGGTTGTCACTGGTGACGCATAATAGATGCGACGTATACGGCGAAGCTAAATATTTAAGGATTGTTCCACTTTATTAGACAAATATGGACTGATGCGACTTATAGGATGGAGCGACGTGTCCGCCGGAAAATACGGTACTTTTGTGGAAAGAAAATATATACATAGATATATATCGTATATCGCCATTCATTTTAAAATATCAAGATATTAATTTTGGTTCATATTGCCCAGCCCTAGAATCCTCAACTGGTAAAACTAGCTTTAGGGACCTAATAGTGGACTCACTGTTGACCTTTGTTTCATCTATTTTAAGTCTTTATAACGTAGCTGTGCTTGTTTCATTTTTTAATATAATCTCTTCCATTTACTTTTCATTTTACATGTTTTTTATGATTGTCTACTGTCATCATTCTTTGTTTAAATCAGGTCTCTCTTGTAAATGAGTCCTCGAGGCTCAATGAGACCAACCTGTACAAATAAAGGTTGAATTGAACTGAAGAGTCCGTACATCTAAAACATGCCTCGATTAGACGTTCTGTACGGTTTTTGAACGTTCAGTAATGGAACGTGACGGAAGACGACCGTTCTCACCCAGCTGCTGCACCGGGTGAATATTCTCCATGTCGTCTCCGTTGATGTTGACCAGAACGATCTGGGTGGTGCAGTTCGACAAGCCGGGGTCCAGGCAGGTCACTGCAACCACAGCAGCAAAGGTTTAAGATAAAACATCTGTACGAGCCCACTGTTGACCCCTGACCCTGAGCAACAGCAGGAGATAAGATACCACTTGCTAATGCAATCAAGTACCTGGAGTGACGCCGACTACTTCCCCCTTATAGCCAGTTTCTTCCTTCAGCTCCCTCACTGCAGCGGCCTCCGCTGTCTCCCCTTCATCAATCAGACCTGAACGCAGCAGAAACGAAAACACCGGACAGACGTTTAGTCATAAGAAACGTTCTAAGTTCCTGATTTTAAGTAAAAGGTTACAAAAAAACAAACTCTCTGACCAGCAGGAAACTCCAGAGTGAAGCGTCCTAAAGGAGGACGGAACTGCTTCACCATCACTACACAGTCTTTATGGAGCGTCCGTTTCAGCAGAGCGATGATCCCCACACCTACACACACGTTCTTGTAAACATACTTTTTGGGGACTTTACATTGACTTCTATTCATTTTCAATAGCCTGACCCTTACCCTAAACCTAACCCCCCAACGAGACTTAGTTGTAAAATTAGTCCCTACAAGGAAACCTGAAGCAAAAACGTCCCTGATCAACTGTTAGACAAAGAAAAAATAATAAAAATACTGACCGTCTGTGTCTGTGTTGCTCCTTCTAGTTGTTCGCTTCACAGTCTCCCATATCCTTAAAGGAAACAAAGAAATTGAACAATATATTTCTTGATTTTTATTAATTTTTTACCTAAAAACAGACGAGCTGAACAGCAACCTGGTGTTTCCAGCAGGATCAACATATGTGGTCTTCTCCAGTTGCACCCATTTCCCTTCTGCTACGAGCTGGAAGACACAAGCGAGGCAAAATAAATGCAACGAGCTCAGTGTGCTCAGGTACTTGTAAAAACCAACCCCTTAGTTCTACGTATCACATCGAGGAGTCATTTCCTCTTGTTGTTATCGTTCGAACTGGTTTTCTTGGCTTCAAAAAAGTGAATTCAGTAAAAATCATTCCAAGTGTCTAAAATCTGATACGAAGGACGGAAACACACGATTCTGACCTCATCGCAACAACAGAATAATCTTATAACGAACGTACAAGTCCTGCAGAAATGTTCAAGTTCAAGTAGGCTTACTGGCATTTCACCACATGTGGTGCATGAGGTGGAATGAAATTGTGCACAGGGTCCCAGTTACATTCAACAATAGCAAAAAAGTATCAAAAGAAACAGTAACTAAGGATCTAAGATCTAAGCTCAACCAGGGGTCTGCAACCTTTACCATCAAGACATTTCTGCTCTTTCTTTCACTAAATTAAACGTGTCCAGAGCCGCAAAACCTGCTACAACTGCCATTATCAACTGGTGGCCCATGGGCCACTTTATGTTCGTTAGAGGAGGCTTTTCTGGTTTGTAGGTGTGAAATTATAAAACTAAACACATCCAGTAATTGTTAACATTTATTGATATTTTTACATGTTGAGACAAAAGAAAAGACTCCCTCCCTCCCCTTTACTCGCTTCTTCCTGTTCGGGTTGCAGGACGTCACTTGTGCCCATTTATGTTTTTTTTTTTTATTGTGGAGAAATATGAGTATCCTACTTTGAAGAAATAAAGCATAAAGTCAAAGTAAGTATAATTTACTCCCGTGTTTTAGTACAAATATCCACATATTTGCAAAGGAAGTGACAGGAAAACTGCTAAAACTAGTAATTTTTTGTTGTTTGTATAACTTTTTTTTTTAAGCTTATTTTTACTGTTTGTCATTGTCTACTGTTATTGTTGTCTGTAGGTGTTCTGTCTGGAACAGGTCCCGCTTGGAAATGAGTGCCCGTAGCTCAGCGAGGCTAGCCTGTATAAATAAAGGTTGGAAAAAAAACAACAACATCAGATAAAATTCAGTTTCATGTTGGTTTTGGTCAAAGCTTGAAAGAGCCGCTGCAGAGGGACCAAAGAGCCACATGTGGCTGCAAAGCTGCAGGTTGCAGACCCCCCGTGCTAAACACTAATCATGTAAAACAACACGGCGAAACATGAGTCTGTGGTGTTCACATGAAGTGGGCTCTGTCTAAATCAGGGGTCTGCAACCTGTGGCCACATGTGGCTCTTTAGTCCCTCATCTGTGGCTCTACGAAGCATCGACTAAAACTTACAGGAAATTGAACTGTTCTGGTTTTTACTACTATTTTTTGCTTTATTACTTCAAACGCTTGATTCCTCCTCGCATGAAAGGGCCTGCGGAGTTCAGTGTTCTCATTTTCATTTAAAAGGTAGAAACTAGAAGTTTTTACATCTGTACATAAAAACATCAATAAATGTTGACATTCATTATCGATTATTAGTTTTAAAACGTCGCCCCCACTGGTCAGAAAAGCCCTCTCTCCAACTAACTCAAAGTGGCCCATGGGCCACCAGTTGATCATCAGTTGTGGCAGGTTTCGTGGCTCCAGGCACTTTGATCCAAAAGGTTGCAGACCCCTGGTATAAATGTTAGGTTAACAGGCTGTTTTGATGGTTTTTTATCATTCTGCCAATCAAGAACAGAAAACAGATGTAGGGTTTTTACATTTAGAGCGTGAAATTTGCAGTTTTTAGCTCAAAATTAGTTGATTTGACTCAGTTTTTTGGAGCTCCTGCCCTCCTAACAAACAGAATACAACACAATAAGCCACAGTCACAAACTTTACACTGACACAACTCGAAGCTTTACTTCTGTAGAAATTATTTGACATTGTGCTGGTGTGGTTTGTCTTACAATGATGTGGAGTAAATACATACAAACCTCTTCTTTCTCTATGTGTGGTGTTGTGGTTACTCTGGGGTCCTCAGAGTTGCTCATTTTCAGTCTGTTCCGTTAAAAACATGAAGGAGAATTGAGTTAGAAACCCACAACAACAAAAAAACTGAACATCACCTCAGCGAGTTTAGATGAGACTGTAAACAAGTGACGAAACTGTGAGAAATTTTTGCTTTGAAACGACGAGGCTTTGACTAAAACAGTTACATTATGTCCTTTTACTATAACAGGCTCGCCTGTATTTTCTTCTGTTCGTTGAACAGAAGCGAAAGGCTTTTGCATGCGATATCAACCCAATGGGTCGAAGCTTTTGTCTTTTAAACGTAAAACTGTTCTACAAATTGACATAAACTAAACTTAACTCACGTGAAATCCCAACCGAGTGAAACGAGCGGCAGAGAGGGGTTATTAGAAAGATGCATCACTCTGAGATAATTTCTTTGTGTCGCAATCGTGACTACAACAGATTCAAATACATTCAAATTCAACAACAGATACAAATTCGATATTTGAATTGTATTAAATTATTATTTTTAATTAGATACTTTATCTTTGGTAAATCAATTTGTCTTTAGCATATTTAAAAAAACACAAAAAAGAATATAATCTTTTGTCAAAGTTTCCGTTGTTGTAGCTCAGTTGAAACTTTATATAAATTAACAATGACTTGCTCACAGAAAATAAATGCATTGCTACTTCTACTCTTTTGAAAGATTTATAGTTTACAAGAACTTTAGCTTGATAAATTGTTTTACATTTACATAATATTTTGTCGAAATTAAGACTTTAAAATATATAAAGGAGTAACGTCTCTACTTAATAAACGATCTATGTTACAAACTGTTTGTTGCGTCATTTCTCCCCCTCTGTTTGTGCAACCAAGAAATACTTCCCTCTAAAAAAAATGACCCGAATATTTGGAATAAATATGGAATAAATAAAGTTAACTCCGCTTAATTTTATAAATATACAAAAAATAGCAATAAGTTCACATTTATAAGGTATTTTTAATATTTACTGTGCAATTTAATGGAAAAATTTACGAGGTTAGTCGGATGACTTTTACTGATGGACACGTTTCCTGAACAGCGTTTGCAGCATGAAGAAGGAGCAAGTTGTAAACTGTCAGTTCTCCGTTTGGTATCCGATATTTAAGAAACACACGATAAAAAGGTAAACGGAAAGAAAGTAAAGTAGTAAGAAAAACCAATTAAAAAAAGGTTTATTGTTGCTGTTAAGCACGGCTAGCCTTAGCTAGCACAAGCAAAGTCATATACTTCGATTTTATTTGGTTAGTTGGGTCAGGGCAGATTATTGTAACTTTTCTTTCTTTTTTCCCCCCTGTTAGTTGTTTTTTTTAGATGATAATTGTTTATTTGTAAATGACATTTTCTATTTCTTTCAGTATAATTCTTCCTTTGCCAAAGAATGTAATAGATTATTTACTGGACGATGGAACACTGGTAGTCTCTGGAAGGTATGAAACACAAACACTATACAGCAGAGCAGTATTTGTATTTAAGTCCTGACAGAGACGATGATGCTAAAGTTGTGTTTTTGTGGTTGTATTTCTTCTTGAATGTCTCTGTTTCTCCTCAGTGATCAGAACACGCAGTCGATACAAACGACCAACAGCGACTCAGATGCAGAGGAAGATGTTCAGGTAAGATCCTCTCGTTTGAAGGAAAGTAAATGTTCGGCGCACTCTGTCACCAGCTGAAGGAAAGGATTCAAAATCCAATCTCGTTGAGGTGGTAACGCGTCTGACACAGACCAATATAAATAACCTCTCTGCGACACACCGATTAAGAACAATTCTTATATTGTACTTGTACTGCTCACAAGAAGTTATAGTTTTAGCTCACTTAAAATATTCCAGCTGGTAATCTATCGGTATAGAAGTTGAATAAAAATCAAATAATGACACGCCGTAAGAGTCAAGGAATGAAGTGACTGACTGAGCGGACTTAGGGTAGTTTTTCCCATCGAGCTACGGATCGAGAGATGAAATTGCACAATTTGTGTCGCCACCATTTATAAGATCATGTGTTGATATATTCAGTATGTTTGAGAAGAGCTTATTAAAACATGTGGGGATGTTCCAGTTGGGAGCATAGACAGAAACTAAAATTACTGGCAGCATGTACAACTTCACCACCAGCATGCACACTCGAGGCTGTAAACTGTACCTGTGTACCAAGTGTAAAAGCTTCCCCTCTTGATTTGGATGAAAAATTACATTGAAACACCTGACCAGACCATTTCTTAACACATTTTCCACTATCTACAGAACTCACATGGGTAAAAAGGCAATGCCAGCTGTTTTAGATGTAACATTGTGACCACTGAGCTGGCTGCACTCGGCCCTTATCATCCTTTATACACACCTGGTCTCTCCATGTACATACTTAATTTGTCAGCCGTTCAAGTTGATAAAAATGACACTTCCTTTCCGGACTGCGAGAGCAGCAGCCACATCCACCCCTTCCGTCCAACAGACGCTTGTAAAAGCCATTAAAATAAATCGGAGGCTGTTTAACCCTTGTGTTCTTGGTTGTTTGTGGGATTGATAATAATCCCGTAAAATAATATAAATAAAATGGTGCCAGAAGCCGGTGATGTCATCGAGTCAAACGTTTGCTCAGCAGACGATAACGGAAAACTGATTCCTGGTTCTGCCTCTGAGAGATTTTCGTCATGACCTCTGAAGCTGTGGGACAGTTTGTGTGGGAGCCATTGCCTTTGGAGCTCTGGGGAAGAATCATGGAGACTTTTTTTGAATTTATTTTACATACATTGAAATATACATACCTTTTTTTTTTTTTTTTTTTTAAATTGAAAAATACAAAACTGAAAATGTGTGTGGAAAAAAAAAAAAAAAAAACGTTTGTCATCTCTGTACCAAATGGGCTACACCATGTAGATGGTCCTTTTGTGATGATTTAAAACAAACAAACAGGAAGTAACTCTTTAAAATCCTACTTGTCAGGAGGGATACCTGACTGCCACCCCTTACAGAAACATTCACAAACATAGAAAGAAAACCGTCACATAAAATACTGGCACCCCAGATGGGACACTTTGCAATACATAGTGAGTGACAAATGTATTTTGAGCTCTACGACAAAATAAATGAATAAACAATAATAAGATGAGCACAGAAGCAAAGCAAACCGAGGAACCTCCAATCATTTCCTCCGCCCCAGTGGAGATGCCCCCTGCTCGCTCCACAGCATACTCTCTCCTGGACGTGGAGTTAATCTGGATTCGGCGTTGAGCTCTCCTTTAGTGCCGCCGCCTCCTCCTCGCAACAGGAGTTCTGATAACCGAGCGAAAAACTGCAGTTGACGATTGGTTAAACTCTGCTCTGAGGTCTGCGGTGTTTCCAGCAAGCTCCGCCCTGACCGCCTTCAAATCGCTCCTAATAAAATTAACATCATCCGTCAGAGCCGCCTTCATCTCCATCCTGATTATCACTGTGACTTCAGATTTAACTGAAGCCAGGATGTCTGACCGAGGCCGCAGTTGTGACGACGGGCTCCACGAGGGAGGACGTCGCTGCTTTAGATGTCTGTGGCTTAGAGTCCAGTTCGCAACTCCGTCGGCTGAATCCAGCAGAGGCGGTGAGCGTAGAATTATAAAAGGCAGTTTTTCAGCGGGGCTGATGGGAGCGTGGCAACAACGCAGTTCACCGATTCACCGCCATGTTGCGCCTCGATTGATGACTTTCTGAGAGTTTCGATAAACTAAACGGTTTATGAGACTTTTTTTTTTTTTTTTTTTCATTTAGCCTTTATTTATCCAGGTTAGTCTCATTGAGCCACGAGAACTCATTTTCAAGAGAGACCTGTAAATTTTTGTAATTTTGCTAACAGACAGGCAAAAACAGTTGGTAGAGCTGTTGCCTCTCAGCGAGAAGGTCACCGGTTCAAATCCCGGCCGGGGGCCTTTCTGGGCGGAGTTTGCATGTTCTCTCCATGCTTTCTCCGTTCCACAGACCAAAAACACGCATGTTGGGCTGATCGGTAACTCTAAATTGTCTCTAGGTGTGAGTGAGAGAGTGAATGGTTGTTTGTCTCTATGTGTCCCTGTGATGGACTGGAGACCTGTCCAGGGTGTCCCCTGCCTCTCACACAGGGATAGCTGGATATGGACACCGGTGACCCCCGCGACCCTAAAAGGAAGAAGCGGTTAAAGATAATGGATGGATGGACAGGCCAAAACATTACTGCCGTCAATAATGTTGGTTTTATTTGTGTTCTGAGTGATGCTCCAAGGTTGTTGTTTTTTTTTATAACCCTACTGAAAATTACATTTTGAAGGAGGTCGAATAATTTTAATAAACTAATCTTTGTTGTTAATGCTCACTTTTAAATTGTGTTTTGACTCTTTACTCCCCTCTAGTGGTCAGACGATGAAACAACCACCACAGTCACTGTAAGTATGTTTGATTTTCTGATTGTTTGCGTCCTCTCCTATTCTTCTATATTTACTGATTAATCGTGAGCCACTTGATGCTTTGTCCGTATCTCTACCAGGCTCCCGAGTTCCCAGAATTCACCTCCGAAGTGCTGGAGGCCATAAACTCCCTGGGCGGGGGCGTCTTCCCCAAACTCAACTGGAGCGCCCCTCGGGTAAAACGCTGCACTCTGCTGCTTCGGCTGTTGTTTCGCATGCGTTTCCTAAAAGTATAACTCGTGTGGTAAAACTCCTGAACACTTTGCTTCAGTTTAATCTCAGAGCTGCTTCTCGCCAACCTTTAAGAGGCGGAAGCATAAACTCTACAAAAACGTGTGCTTTCTTTCGTGTGTTCCTCTCAGGATGCGAACTGGATCGCTCTGAACAGCTCGCTGGAGTGCCGCAGCCTCAGCGATATATTTCTGCTCTTTAAAAGCTCCGACTTCATCACTCACGACCTCACGCAGCCGTAAGTCCGCCCAGCTGTCCCGACAGTGTGAACGCACACCACCGTCGGGACTTGTTGTGCATTCAGATGAGCCGGGCATCGAAAGAACTGGCTCTAAAACACGAGCGATGGCGAGAAAAAACCTGGCAAGAACTTAGATTTATGTGGCACTCTGCTGTGACAAACGTCCGGTGCTCAGAGAGATTTACTGCAGTGTGAAGCCTCATAACATCGCTGTGTGTAAATACTGCAAAGTAAATACTCTGGTCAAACTTTTGTGTCCTTAAAACTCGTTTGACTCTCTTTGTCTCCTGAGCAGGTTCTTTCAGTGCAGTGACCAGGACTCCCCTGATCCACTCATCAAATACGAGGTATTTATTCTCCACAAAGAGCCGTCATTTCAGAGGAAATGTGAAATTCCTGCTACAGCTTGCTGCTGCTGCCACTATTTGCAAATAACCATAAATTATGATGCACAGTTGAAAGGTGCTTAAAAGTTGATGGAGTTATTATCTCAGCTCAGATTAGCTGTTAGCTTGTCGGTCCTGTTGGACGTTAACTCTGTTTCTACAAGTTAAGCTGTCAAAAAGATGCAGGTGACACCAGATGTTTACATACACTCGGGGCTTAATTTGTAAACCAAACAATGGCGAAACGCAAAAAGCAGTGGTGGGTGTGGGGGTTTGAGTGTTCTCCCCCAGAAAATGTTGAATAAAGTAGATGCCATTTCTTAATTCTGGTTTATTTTACTGGGTTGTTAAACTTCTATGTTTACCTATAGAGCATGCTCCGCTTCTCACGAGCATCCTACTCCCCCTCCACTCTCATATTTTTAATAAATAATCAAAATTTTATTAATAACCCACTTAAACTGCAAAACTAATTTTTGTGTTTTTAATTAAATTGGAGATTTTTTTAAGGGTAGAAGCAGAAATGCTTGAAGGAGCAGCTCTGATGTGATGTTAAGAAGTCGAACGTGGCTGTTATGTTTAAAATGAGTGTTTATGTAATTATTTTCAGTTTAAATATCCAATATAGGTTTTATTTGTTCCAGGCAGTCATATTTGCTCATAACTTTATTATTAGTGAGCCTGAGAGTTACCGGATCCAAGCAAACGGTTACCAGAACACACCCTGTCACTCGGGATCCGGTTCAAATTAAGTCCTGCATACACTGTTTTCCAGTGTAAATCCAACCCATTCCAGACTAAACCTAAACTGTTTTTTAAATCAGTTAGGATTTCCAAAAGTATTTCTGTTGGTTAAATCCCCAAATAATGAGATTTTTTTTTATTTTTACTTTCTTCAAAGTCCCATTTGTCCATATACTGTATGTTCTTAGTATTTGTTGAACGTTTTGTGGTTAAAAAAAAAAGCAGAAAGAACACATATTTGCTTAATTAGATTTAAGTAAGCAGAAATGATCACAAAACTTAGTAAATTAGCTAAAAAGACTGAAATTAGCAACAATTAAAAAAATAGCTAAAAAATAGCTAAACTTCTTTCTACCTTTTCAAACTACTAGGAGGAAGTGGAAGGAGCTGAAATGAGCTAAAAAAAAGTTGGATATTAGTTAGAAAAAGGTAAATTTAACATGAAACGTAAGAGAGACATCTGACACCTTGGATGTAACTGGGACCCCATGTACATAATTTCGCTCCACCACATGTACCACATGAGGTGCGAATGACAATAAAGAAACTCTGACTCTGACTCTGACTCTGAAATAGCTGAAATAGAAAAATCTGAAACTAGCAGAAAAAAGCTGAAAGGAGCTGAAATTAACAGAAAGAAGTTAATTAGGCTGAAAGTGTCAGAAATTGCCAAAAAATAACTTGAATTTATCTGAAAGCATCTGAAATTAGCTAAAAAAAAAATGCATTAAAAAAAGTATCTGAAAAGGTAGAACGAGCTTAAATTAGCAGAAGAAAGCAGAAAGGACATATTTACCCAATTAGACTGAAAGAAGCAGAAATGAGCACTAAAAAATGGATATTATCTGAAAAAGATGAAATTAGCAACAACAACAAAAAAGTACAAAAAAAACCAGCTGAAAAGTAGCTAAAAAAGCAGAAAGAAGCTTAAATTACCAGAAGGAAGTGGAGAGAGCACATTTTTGCTGAATTCGGCTGAGAAAAGTTTAAATGAGTGCAAAACATGTGGAATTAGCTGAAAAAGCTTAAATTAGCCTGAAAACAGCTAAATAGTAGCTGAAATAGCAGAAAAGGCTGAAACTTGCTGAAAAAAGCTGAAAGGAGCATAACAAGCTAAAATCAGCAGAAAGAAGTTAGAAGAAGCACAAAAATCTTGTAGTTAGCAGAAAGAATCTAAAAGGAGCACAAAACAGCTGAAATTAGCTGAAAAAGCTTAAATTTGCTGAAGGAAGCTGAAAGCAGCCGAAGCAGAACAATATGAAAGGAGCAGTAAGAGGTTGTAAACAGATCTGAAGAGCTGAAGGATGCAAGATGAGCTCAATTCATTTTCTATGAGAAAAAAAAATGGCAGAAAAGACTGAATATTTCAAAAAGCTAAAGTTGCACCATAGCACCCTTCTCCTGAACAAGCTGAACGTTTTGATGTCATTTGCTGAAGTAGCAAAAAAAAAAAACCCTGTGGAACAAGAAATATGTTGAAAAACGTACAAAAGAAAAACGGATCCCAATAGAGTGAGTTCTTCATAAACATTCACACAATAATCATTTTTATTACTTTTCCACTGAAATCCAGTTCAGACTGGCTCAACTTGAAATGCTGCGTCATTCTGCAGGAAAAACAAGGATTAGCCAAACTCAAACTCTAGTTATTGTGTCTTTTAGGCCATGTGCGCTGCTGGCGTACTTTATAATCCCGATGAATGGCATCTTCTAACAGCTCGTCTCTCCTCAGCTGGTCCTGAGGAAGTGGAGCGAGCTGATTCCTGGTGGAGAGTTCCGCTGCTTCGTCAAAGAAAACAAGCTGATCGGTAAAAAGAACGAACAAATCCTCCTCACGCACTCGAACCAGCCGCCCCGAGTCGGGCTTTTTAAAGTGGTCAGCTGCCTCGTCAGTTAAAAATAGAAGTTTATAAAAAGTGACTCGCTTGAAAAACATTAGACTTCACGAGCCAAGCATGACCAGTTTGACCGGCGCTAATTTCTGAGGCAATTATAGAAGCTAATTTGAGCTCCACTTGGTGTGTGTGTGTGTGTGTGTGTGTGTGTGTCGCAGCCATCTCCCAGAGAGACTACACACAGTTTTACCACCACATCCCGAAGCAGGAGGAGCTCATCTCTCAGGCCGTTCAGGACTTCTTCAGCCAGCACATCCAGTACAACTTCCTGGACGAAGACTGTGAGCTTCGGTTCATTTATTTGTTTGACAGCAGAAAGTCTTTCTGTACGAGCTAATTAAAGTGGAGTAAGCACGGTTAATGACGCGCTGGGAGTTTCATGGTTCATTATGAGCATGTTTTGCAGTCAAAATGAAATAACTTTTTTATTTTTTTTCCTGCTTTATAGTTGTGTTTGACGTCTACAGAGACTGCCAGGTAATTTATCTCATTACTGCAAGATTTTTAAGGACTTTCCAAGCTACTTATAAATGTCATTTTTGTTGGTTTTTTTTTTAGGGGAGGGTGTGGCTCATCGACCTGAACCCATTTGGAGAGGTGACGGACTCGCTGTTGTTTCGTTGGGACGAGCTGACGTCAGGCGGAGAAATCGCCCAACGGCAGCAGCAGGTTAGCAAACGCAAAGCCCTCGTTCAACCGTGTTTGTTTGGTTCTTCCTCTGCAATTATCAGTCCGAGGCCTGCCAACCAGAGCTGTCTTATAAACTGAGCTTTCAAACTTTTTTCGAAGCTGCGATATTCTTCCCACACAGGAGCACCCAGTCTTTCGTTACACCACGAGCGAGGTGACGGTGCAGCCCAGTCCCTGCCTGAGCTACAGAATCCCTCGGGACTTCGTGGACCTCTCCACCGGTGAAGACGCCTACAAACTCATCGACTTCCTCAAACTGGTTGGTACTCTGCGCACATTAACACGTTTCCTGCTTGGCACGGCTTTCAGATCAGCTAGACAGACGCTAAAATTAACTCGAGAAATCGCATTTCCTGCGAAAATGCGGGGTGAACGCTTATAGCTGAAGAACTTGCTAATAAAGCAGCTGAAATGAGCTAAAAGCATGCTGAAATATAGCTGAAGTATAAGAACAAGCCTAAGTTAGCAGAAGAAAAGAAAGAACGCATATTTGCTGAATTAGATTTAAATAAATGGAAATGAGCACAAAAAATTAGGAAATTGGCTAAAAAAGCTGAAATTAGCAAAAACTTGCTGAAAAGCAGCTAAAAGGCAGAAAGAAGTTTAAACTACAACAAGGAAGTGGAAGGAGCTGAAATGAGCTCCAAAAATGTTTAATTAGTTTAACACAAAAACAGCTAAAAAGTAGCTGAAATTTAAGAAAAAGCTAAAACTAGCATAAAATAACTGAAAGGAGCGTAACAAGCTGAACCCAACAATGTTCAGTCAGGTCGTCTGGACCAGTTTGGTTGGTCCACTATGGGAGTGTGCTGCTTGGTGGGGAAACAGTTTGTTTGTGTCTCCTCAGATCGATGAAGTCCTTCGGCTGAAGGACGAAACGTCTCTCAACAAAAAAAGAAACTGTTCAGATGACCTGACTGAACATTGTTGGGTTTTTTACCTGGTTTATTGAGCATAAATTTGATAACGAGCTGAAATTAGCAGAGATAAGTAAATTAGGCTGCAAGTAGCAGAAATTTCCATGAAAAACTTGAGTTTATCTGAAAACAGCTGAAATTAGCTAAAAAATGTAGCTGAAAAAGTAGAACAAGTTTAAATTAGCTGAAGAAAGCAGGAAGAACACGTTTACTGAAAGAAACAGAAACAATTACGAAAAAAGTGAAAATTATCTAAAAAAAATATTTTTTTTTTAAGCTGAAATTAGCAACAAACAAACAAAAAACCAGTTGAAAAGTAGCTAAAAAACAGAAAGCACCTGAAATTACAAGAAGGAAATGGAGAGAACACATTTTTGCTGAAATGGGCTGAACAAAGTTTAAATTAGTGCAAAATATGTGGAATTAGCTGGAAAAGCTAAAATTACCATGAAAACAGCTATAAAGTAGCTGAAATAGTAGAAAAAGCTGAAACTTGCAGAAATAAGCTGAAAGGAGCATAACAAGCTGAAATTAGCACAAAGAAGTTGGAAGAAGCACAAAAATATTGAAGTTAGCAGAAATAATCTGAAAATAGCACAAAACAGCTGAAAAAACAGCTGAAAGTAGCTGAAAAAAGTTTAAATTTGCAGAAGGAAGCTGAAAGAAGCTGAAGCAGAACAAAATGTGACAGGAGCTGTAAAAGGTTGAGAACAGATCTAAACATGTGAAGGATGTAAAATGAGCTCAGTTCATTTTCTGTGAAGGAAAAAATGTCAGAAAAGGCTAAATATTTCAAAAAGCTAAAGTTACACTAATAGCAAAAGTCATAGCAGGATTGTCCTGAACGAGCTGAACGTTTTGATTTACGAGTTGTTGAAATGGCACAAAAATTGTGGAATGAGAATCGCACTGAAAACCGTACGGAAGTAAACTGGATCACAATAGATGAACGCTTCATAAGCATTCAGACAACTAGAACGTTTCAAGTTGTTAGCTGAACTTCCGTGTTTGAAGGACGTAGAAAATGCAACAGGAAGTTCGTTTCAAGTCGAGGTCAAAGGTAAATCAAGGTCTTTGCTTGTCATTGCTGTGGAATGGTTTGTCACTGGGCGTATAATAACGTGGTACTCTTGTTAGTATTTTTTTCTAACCCCACACAGATCTGTTGAGTAGAAGTACGAGAGTTTCCCACGAGACTCGTTTGGTCACACCGAAGCCGTCAGCTGTATGTTTTGTTTATGGCCAACCTTGTTTTCTCTGCCCACAGAAGAAAAACCAGCAGGAAGAGTCCGAGGAGGACGAGGAGAATACTGTACCGTGACATCAGCTCTTCGTGTAACGTGTGCATGAATTGTTGAGCTTCTGTTCCTTTTTTTGTTTGTTTTTTCTTGGAACGCTTGTACGGCAGCTTCCGTGAGACTGCCGGAACCTGTTATTAAATCATGTCACTCCTTAAGGATGGACATTTCTCTCCAGTCTTTCCCCTTCCTGTGAGACGGACCTCTGCGGAGTTGAATGAAGCGTGCGGAGGGGCCGTGTTATTAAAATACTGTAAAACAAAAACTGATTTTATATGTTGAACTAAGTATTGATCGATTACAAACGATACTGTTTAGTTTCTCTGCTCTTAAAATGTATTGGACACAAACACGCAGCTACAGTTAGCACACTTCACTGCTTCCAGGCTCCTTTTTTTGTGTCTTGTTTTTGTTTTTTTTCCCCATCATGCATCACTTTGGACATTTGCTCCCACCCCAACAAAACCCCATTAAACTCCTTGTCATGTATCGAGCGGCTGTCAGTCCGGTGGGTGCAGTAAACCAGCGCACAAGAAATTGATTGTGCCTTTTACGCAACAGTTCTCATTACGCTGGGAGCTAAATGAGTTGTGTGAACGCGGCGGCGCGGGGCAGTTCATTATTATTATTTTTTCGAACTGGATTGATGGCACAATTATACGGAGATGGAGAGTGCCACTGTGCTGAGAGTTGCAGCTCCCCGGGTGAACTGTGGACAGGAAGCGATGCAAGGCACAGAGTGTGTGAAAATGAAATCACACTGTTATGAGGGAGGCGGCCTGCTTTGACTTGGAGACAGTTTTTGGTATTAAAACTGTGTTTTCATTGAATCTAAACTAGGGGTCTGCACTCTTTGCAATAAAAAGAGCCGTTTCCCCCCTTTTCTTACTAATTACGATGCCCTGTGTACTGTCAACTGGTGGCCCATGGGCCACAAGTTGGTTGGAGACAATTTTTCCGGCCAGTGGGGGTGCTATTATAAAAGGAAAAATGTCTCAACTATTAATAACAATTGATAGTTTTATATTTTAATACAAACAAAACGGCCAGATTCATGTAAAGAAAGAAAAAATATATGATTTTTAACAATTCTGTAAAAATGAAAACCCTGAACTCTGCAGGCCGATGCGACTTCTCTTAATTGTTGAAGAATTAAGTGTCTTAAAGCATAAAGTTAAAGACAGTATAAAATTAGGCCAGTTTGTTGGATATCCATTTACATTTCGTTTACTTTGACTTTGTTTTTGTGTTTTATTCTTAGTGTCATCAAAGTTACTCACCATTAATCCTTCTCAGCAGCTTGTCTTAAAGATATTCCAAAACATTCTGGTGGTTTGACAGAAAGATCACGCTGAGAGACTGGAAGTCGACTTAGTGGCTAACAAATTACTAGCATGACCTAGTACATGTTTTACACCTTGTATTTGTACTATTGTTCACATATCCAATTTTCAGTCAGGTCATCCAGACGTCTCAGCACACACACAAAAAAAAATTTAAAAAAATTACAGTGGGTAGGTTCATTCATGTCAAGATTGGATTTACAATTTGTTTAAATCAAATATGGAGATTGAATAACCTTTGTTGCTTCACTAAAAAAAAAAATGGTTTGAATGTATGACAGTACAGTTCTAGTTCTGGGAGATATCAAAACCACTTTTGCGCATGTGCCGAATAATAAAATCCTCGCAATTCTTGAAAAAGCACATTAAAAAATAAATAATAATCCACCATCTCCTCTTGAACAGAAACGATGATTTTTCTCCCTGCATTTCAGAATTAATTTAAAAAAGGTCTTTAAAACTTGCTAACAGTTCAGCATAAGAGGGAGGATTTTCAATAACTTTCTGTCAACAGTTCATCTAAGTCATCAATTTCAGGACCTAAAATGTTCATGTTTTCTGTATATGTCATCTAAAAGATTCATATTTGGTGAATGGACTGACAATCAGCAAGTCCACGCTATATTAAAGTTGGCTTCATGTGCCTGAATAAGTCCTATGTGCTGAATCACTAATTAAGGATGGTGTTCCTCAGGGACCAGGGTTGGGACCCATTGCAGTTTCCACCCTCTCAGCCCTGATCTGTGCGTTATCGCCATTTTTAAGGTTAAAAATCATCAAGTGTGGCTGAAGGGAGGATATTTTTAAACATTTTTCTCCCCTTTGCATCAACTAACGTATGGCTGTTTGAAAGATCTGCTGTAAAAATTTCAGCCAGCGAAGAACCACCTGCAGTCCACAGCGAGCACGGTCAGCCTGTGAGACGAAAAACTCGGAACAGACAGTGAGTTGGTGAAGACCGCCCTCCCAACAGTAACCTGGCTGATCATCGGTTTGGGGAACAAAGTCAGGAGACCAACCAAGACGCTTTGAAGTCTTGTCCTGCATTTTTTACTGACAGTCATTGACAAACCCGAGGTGCGTAAGGCTCATGTTGGATAAATGTAATCTTGGCAGGGTCAAAGTGGTAGATGCTTTGAATCTGAGAAGAATACAGCCACACATGAACCTCCTCGGGTTCCCTCGTAGCTCCGTTCATTCACAGCCACCTGCACTATTTGTGTCGGTCTGCAATGCAAACAAGAAGCCCTCTATTTGACCTTCAGCCTGTATTTAACTATCCCTGCTGCCGTCCTCTCCTCTTGCCTTTGCAGCTGGGTAATCATCTTTCATCAAGAGAGACGGGAGTTGCTGACTCGGGAGTAAAGGATTAGGATGAGCAGAAGAAAGGGATGGAAGGGAGGGGGTGGAGAGAGGAGCTTTCCTCGGCTGCTGCTGTGGAAGAGCTGCAGTAGTTTGCAGTTGGAATACTCATGAGGAGTTGAGGCTGCAACACATTGGCCTCCCCCTCCTTCCTCCGTTTCCACAGGTTTAACCACACAGAGAAAAGTAAGAGGGTCAGGAACAGCCTAGTGTGGCTGTTGTAAGGTGACATGACCTCAGCTGTGGCAGTGCTGTAGAGCCCCTGCCTCCATGCAAAGTGAATCTTGTTATCCAGGGCCATGTTGAACCCGGGTGAATGAGCAGCTGCAGCTGGGGTCCCTTCTGATCCCTGGACGACTGTGCCGAATCACGCAGATGCCTTTGGGGATCGCAAATAGTTACGCATGGCGGCTGTCAGCAAGTTGATGCATTGCGAATTAACTGCTCCAGTGTGCTGGCTGGACACACTCTCACACAGGACGGACGAGTGGCCTCCCATCAACTGCCTTTATAGCCAGAACAATGTACCGCACACTGCTACAACAACACCAAACCGTGGTGTATAAGTGGAATAAACAATCTCAATATACTATGAAATCTCACAAAAAGATGGAGCCCATAGTACCACTGACAGTCCATCAGTAAACTGTTTAGTCACTTGAAGGAAGCATTAAGTTTTCTGTCAAGTAAGAGACAGTTAAGTAGCTTTATACAGGAAACAGTGGAGTTTGTTTTCAAAATAAAAGCAGATAATTTTTGAAATCGTAGTAGCAACTACAAGAGCGGTAGTACAGGTTGGACATCTCCAGCGTTCAGCGGGAAAGAACTAGGCTACACCCTGGATAGATCGCCAAGAACTTCATAGAGGCAAATGAAATGATTTCTTCAAAATGGAGCACGTGGAAGAGAATGCAGAGGGACGATAAGAGTGACAATGAGAGTGACCCAAGAACAGAACCCTTGGGTACGCCACAAAGGCTAGAAAAAGAACCAATCTACCAAGGCTTACAAGAAAACTTTTATTACACAAATCATTCAACATCTTTAATATTTAGGGCTTTTTACAACTTGATTCCATCCATCCAAATGTTTCCCTTATTTGTTATGGGCTGCAGAGGCATGAGGTCCAGGAGGGAAACCCAGACACTCCTCTCCCAAGCATTACTCTCCATATTCTTCTGGAAGTTTCCAAGGCGTTACCAGGCCAGAATGGGTACTGCTCCTTCCAGTGAGGCCTGGGCCTTTTTAGACTTCACTTCCCAGTGGGACATGTCCATCCGTCCGTCCAGCTGGGGTCACAGGTGCACATTTCCAGCTATCACTGTGCGAGAGGTGGGGGACACCCTGGACAGGTCTCCAGTCCATCACAGGGACACCCAGGACAGGTCTCCAGTCCATCCCAGGGCCACCCTGGACAGGTCTCCAGTCCATCACAGGGACACTCTGGACAGGTCTCCAGTCCATCACAGGGACACCCAGGACAGGTCTCCAGTCCATCCCAGGGCCACCCAGGACAGGTCTCCAGTCCATCCCAGGGCCACCCTGGACAGGTCTCCAGTCCATCCCAGGGCCACCCAGGACAGGTCTCCAGTCCATCCCAGGGCCACCCTGGACAGGTCTCCAGTCCATCCCAGGGCCACCCAGGACAGGTCTCCAGTCCATCCCAGGGCCACCCTGGACAGGTCTCCAGTCCATCCCAGGGCCACCCTGGACAGGTCTCCAGTCCATC